ACAAAAAAAAAAAAAAAAAAAAAGAACAGGTGTGCAGGGGGTGTGGGTGTGGATGTAAGGAAAGGTGTGTGGGAGGTGCACATGTAGATATGAGAACAGGTGTGTGGGGGACACAAACGGGGGTGGGAGGACAGCTGTGCAGGAGACATGGGTGTGGATGTGAGGACAGGTGTGTGGGAAGGCGCAGGTATAGATATGAGAACAGGCTACGGGAGGTATGGGTGTGGATTTGAGGACAGGTGTGCAGGGAGGTGGGTGTGGACATGAGGACAGGTGAGGGGAGGCACAGGTGTAGATATGAGAACAGGTGTGTGGGGAGATGTGGGTAGAGGTGTAAGGACAGGTGTGTGGGGAGGTGGGTATGGACGTGAGGACAGGTATGCGGGAGGCAGGTGTGGATGTGAGGACAGGTGTACAGGTGTCTGATTTCCCCTGTGCCCAGTGGGGAGGTGACATCTGGTGGCAGCTGGTATGGATGTTAGAACAGGTGTGTGGGGAGGCAGGTATAGACGTGAGGACAGGTGTGCAGGAGGTGGGGGTGTGGACGTGGACAGGTGTGCAGGAGGTGCAGGTTTGGATGCACATATGAATAGGCGCATGTAAACGTTTGACACAGGCTGGGGGTGGCCCTGCCCGAGGGTCCACAGGACAGGATGCCCAGGGGAGGGAGGTGGGATTCAGTCTCACCAGGCCATAGGAGACATGGAGTGGGCCTCGGAGGTGACAGGAGCCAGAGGCCGAAGCTGGCCCATCAGAGTGGCTCCCATGACAGGGACTTGCCTGACTGACATGGGTGCTGGTCCTCAGGTCTCCAGGAGAAGGTTCGCTTGAGGGGCCTGCCCCAGACTGGGACATAACCAGAAGGGCCTCCCTCCAGGGATGCAGGCACTGGCAAGGCTCTTGACATTCGAAAGGTCACTGAGACAGACCAAGCCGGTGCTAATTAGCAAAGACACCTGCAAACGGCCAGCTCGAGTCTCTGGCAGAAGTGGGGGTACCAGGCCCGCCTGGCGTGTCTAATTGGCCCAGAGGCCCATGCAGGCCATGTTCCTCCTTGTTAACTGATAGGGGCTCATTAGCCTGTGGTTGGACGTTCGGAGTAAATGTCACCAGAGAGTTTTGTGACAGCACTCGGCAGTTCTCTGTCTGCCTGTCCTCCCTGGGTGCAGGGGGACCCAAGGTGCCTGGACAGGCTCAAGGAGACAAGGTATTCAGAGGGAGGCTGGGGTCGGGGCTTCGACTCTCCCTGCCATGCCTGTGGCGACTGCCCCTCACAAAGGGGTAGGAACCGTGCCCACGTTCTGTGTGGAAGGGACATCTGACCATAACATCCTGCCCCTGGGCTTCAGGCCCAGATAGTCCAAGTTCAAGCTCCAGCTTTGGGGCATGGGCCAGTCCCCTGATGGCTCCATGCCTCCGTTTACCACTCTCTGAAATGGGAGTGATGTCCTCCTTGTGCCATTAATGTTACGAGGACTAAGGAGCATATGGGAAGCACCCCACGTGTATGCTACGATTCCACACCGCGATTCCCGGGTATTGGCTTCAGTCTTGCCAAAGACACTTGGAGACTGTCCTCAGTCACAGAGTGCAGAGAGCCACAACTCGGAGTTCACATGTCTCACAGCTGGTCTCGTGGGCTTTTCATCGTTGGTTTTGGAGTCTCGCATGTATGTGTCTGTGGGGTTGTTTGCGGGGAGTGGTGCTGGTCTTGTGTTTGAAAGTTAGAAATTCCTTCTCCCTCTGTGACATCAAAGCTTGAGCTAGGATGCTGGTGGCACAGTGGGATATTGGCCCTGGTCCCCCATGCACACACATGCTCATATTCTCTCTCCCAGCCTCTGAGACTCTATGCCTGACTGGGCCAAAGAGAAAGCAGGTGGGGTGAAACCATGACAGAGGCTGAGGATCCCGTCTCCTGAGCCTGTGCTTGTGCTCTCAGAGCTGCCGGGAGCAAAGACAGAAGCACTCGAGCCTTTAATGTTAGAGCGACTTTCGCTCTGAGCCCACATAGTTCTGCCACGTCTGGGTGGGCAGGTTGCATCCTGCACAAGGCTGAGGAAGTGGACAGCTTCAAAGCCCAGGCACATGCCACTTCCCCCCATCCATGGACCCTGATGCTGGTCTCCATCCCCCCTCAAAGGGGCCTCTCTTGCTAATCCAGTGGAAAATGCCATGTGGACTCACAGGAGTCCCCGTCCTACGCCCCCAGCTTTGACTGAAGACTCTCTTGAAGTCATGGAAAGAATCTATGTGGAGGCTGGGGGCCCGGCTGTGTCTGGGCTCCCCTTCCTCTGCGGCCTCCACTGCCCTGCACGTGGTTCCCCCTAAGGATCGTAATGTCTCACGTCCTTGGCAAGGCTTAGATCTGTTCAGGGCAGGTGAGAGGGTCAGCTTGTGGGGTTTGCTCAGCAGGTCTGTCCGGGTGGGAGGGGCTGAGGGTGGCAGCTTGGGGACTGCGTCTCGTCTCCTGGAGTCACGGGCTTTCTGCTCGAGCCACCTCCCTCGGTTGCCCAAACCCATAAGACCTTCCTGGAGGGGCCAGAAGTGTCTCTAGCAGATCCTGGTGCCCAGAGCAACTGCAGGTGACAAAGAGAAGCATGAAGCTGAGGGAAGAAATTGGGTGAGACAGGTGGTGTACATCAGCTGGGGGTCCCACCCGCTCCCCGAGCCAAGCAGTACTGAGGCCAGGCCAGGCACCTCCTTCCCTCGTGGTGTGGCATCTAGGAGGTAACAGTGACAACTTCCTGCCAGCCATTGGCAGACAGCCTCAAGGAAGGGTCTGGAGTTTGCCATGCAGACAGGTTAGAGCCAAGAGCGCTGTTTCCTCACCCCCAATCAGAGCTTAGGTGCTGGTGCTGGGGACAGAGATGGAGACGTCGGGAGACGTCTGGGCATGAGAAGCAACTAGACTGATGGTTCATCATCCAGCTGCCTGGCTTGGGATCTGCCTCTTACGAGTGTTTTACATTCAAAGTTACTCTCACTGCACGAGCTTAAGTCGTGCCTTCTTCCAGGTGGTTGTGTAAATTGTAAACGGAGAGATGATTGCCTGGCAGGGGGCAGATGCACTATATTTTTTGAATGCACGGAAAATGTCTGGTACATGGTGAGTCTAAACTAGCTATTGTGTCGTCGTTGGTTTGGGGATTATCCGTAAATAGGCATGGATCTGTTGTTTGGGAATTAGCGAGATGAGTCAGTGATTCTCCATGAACCAGAGTTGATTGGTTAATTTGGGAATTAGCTGGGCGGACAGGGATTACCTGAAGTGGAGTTTATCTGTCAGTCTGGGAATTAGCTGGGTGGACAGGGATTATCTGAGCGCGAGTTGATCTGCTGATTGGGGAATTGCCTGGATTCGGAGCCGTGCCGGCACCGGCCTTGTGGTCTTATCTCTGCAGACACCAGCCGATCTCCCTCCTCCTTCCCTTGCAGACGATGGAAAACTGTCCCTGGAGGAGTTCCAGCTCTTCTTTGCAGACGGTGTCCTCAATGAGAAAGAACTGGAGGCTCTCTTTCACACTATTGATTCTGACAATACCAAGTGAGCCTGGGTCCAGGTCGCCAGAGCAGGGGGCTGGGTGGATTGGGGAGGGGGGCGTCTTCCCTTCTGGTCTCCATTTCCTGTCCCTTGTAAGGGGCTGGAAAGCTGAAAATCCCCAAGGTTGCTCACCCAGACGTCAGATTCACTCGGCCGCCAGTGCCCAGTGTGGTCTGGGGAGCAGACGGATTGATATTGCATTGGCTACAGTCACAAGTTGGTGTTTTCTGAGCTCACGTGGCTAACTACGGAGGCTCTCCCAATTTTGCCCATTGTGTGCCAAGTCATGAAAATGGGAGGTTGGCAGCAACTGCTGCTCAGTCCCCCAGTTCCAACCCCTCCCCAGGGCCTGTGCCTCCTCCCAGTCCTGATCTTGACATTCAGCCTCCCCTTAATACCGACCCCCCACTATGTGAAACCAAGCTAGAACCAAAAATGGATCCAAACACTTACCTTAGTACCACTTCTACCCCCATACCTGATGAAAGCTTTTCTCCAACTCATTGGCCACCCTAACCTGCATGTCAGAATCAACCAGAACTCTGGCTCCAACCGTCTCTAAATCAAGTGTGGAGTGCACATTCTAGTCAGACTTAACCCTGACCCTCCTGCAACCTCACTCCCACTCTTGCCCTTTCTTTGGGATATCCCGGGAGGGGGGCAAGGCTTGAGCACCTCCTCAGCCCCACCTTCAGGAACGATCAGAACCCCCGGTTACCTTCCTTGGCCCACCTGGGTGATGAAGACCAGAGCTTCTGGGGAGCTGCTTGGGGCGAATTCGATAAGATGGAGTCTCCCGGGACTGGCTAGAGACAGTCTGGACAAGAGGCTACCACCAAGCCAGTTAGCAAGGGACCCTGGGCAATGGCGTCCTGGACCAGAGACTGGGGCTGAGAGAGACCTCAGAGGTGTAGTATGGAGACCCGATGGCGGGGGTTGGGAAGGTGCCTTTGTCTAGGAAAGGCCACTTTAAAGAGATGGCTTCAGCTGCAGACGCCTGCATGGGGGCTTTGTCTCTGGAGCCAGATGGAGGTTTCTGAGCTGTTCCTGAAGCCTCCTGGGGAGCTTTGAAGGGGCCAGGCAGGGGCCCATTGATGTATGCATTCTCTGTTAGTGCCTTTTGTGTCCTGGCCAGCAGGGGTGGATGGGGAGAGAGGAGGAGGAGCTGGCTTAAGCAGTTAACCATGGTTAACCATGGGCAGGCGTGTGAGTGGGTGCGTCCAGGGTGGGACCACGATTATGGAAGGTAGGAAATCACAAGACCTTCATTTAGGTTTCTCTCTCCAGCATTTCCAATGGGTGAGCCAAAACACAAGCCCTTGGGATGCTCAGTAGGCTTTCTGTCCAAAACAATTTACAAAACAGCGAATCAGAAAGATTTGTGAAATGTTAGTTTGGGCAAAATTACAGAGTTACTTTCTCCAAGCCTTTGTGAGAACTCTGAACCTGCAACATGGGTTGAAGGAACCTCCCAGCCGGAGCGGGCAGGGCCTCTGAGCCCAGGTCCATTTGGCCATGGACGTCTCCTGTCCAGACACATCTGAGTGCACCTGGGTTTCACCGAGCCCCCTGTTCTAGGCCGCCCCCCATCCGAGGGACTGGTCCCCAAAAGGGGAAGGTCCCTAGAGGGGCCCAGTTCCTCCAGCACAGCACCAAAATCCCAAGGCTTGTGTGTGTGCCATCCCTGTCATGGGGGGCATTCCCCCCAGAAAGGACGGGCCCCCTCTCCATGCCACAGGGCTAGGGTCCAGGGCTCGGGGCCCAGCAGGCAGGGGTGCCTGGGGCTGGCGCAGCAGGTCCGTGAGAGTTTTGGTGACAGCCCTTAATAGCCATGCCCTCCATCCTTTTCCCAGTCCTGGCCTAGCCCTACCCTCTACCTCATCTATTCATGATGAAGGGGTGAGTCAGACCGACAGGATCCCTGCTCGGTTCTTTGGGGTTGGGGGGCGTCATTGGCCTACTGACTGACTGTCTATCTCCCTCTCCCCCTCTCTCTACCCCTCCTTCCATTCCTCCCGCGCTCTCTCTCTCTTTCCCCCTCCCTCTCTCCCTCTCCCTCCCCTTCCCCACCCCCAGCCACGTGGACACCAAGGAGCTGTGTGGTAGGTGCCTGGCTATGCAGCAACCAAGATGGGGGTACCACGATAGGGTACAGGGAGAAGGGCCCGAGGAGGGGTGAGGCCCCAGGACACACAGGCGGGAGGGGCAGAGTCCCCTGTGACCCCCTGTGACCCCCAGCCCTTTTCCTCCTCAGATTACTTTGTGGACCACATGGGGGACTATGAGGACGTCCTGGCCTCCCTGGAGACCCTGAATCACTCTGTCCTGAAGGCTATGGGCTACACCAAGAAGGTCAGTGGGTTGGCATGTTCCCAGGGTCCAGGGCCTGAGTTCGGGTTTGGCTCCAGGTATCCCCAGCTGTCCTCACCCAAGGGTGCCCGGGTTTGCGATGACAGGTGCCATGGGCCTGGCTCAAGAGGTGAGCTTTGCTTGGGCCTCCTTGAAGGAGCTGAGATAAACTATGAAGTGAGTAGAATGACTTGGTGAATGGCCCAGTCCGGTCAGTGTCTGGTGGGGACGGGAGGCCCTTTCCCAGAGTCAGACCTGGTCCTAGGCTGGAGTCCTGGAAAGGGTGGCAGCAAGACACCAGGCCCTGGGAGACCTGTCACCACCTCATCTGCGTCAATGTCCTGGAGGGGCGAGAGGGCAGGGAGATAGAGTCAGGCTGTGGGCTGGGAGCTGGGGGACGTCCCTGGGCCCTCCCGCCAGCCCCACTACAGCCCCATGGGCCTCAGAAGGCCCTCCCTGGGCCTCCCTTCCCACAGTCAGCAGCCCCACTGGGCTGGCAGCTTCAGCAGGGCCAGCAGGGAATGTTCCTCCTCAGTGTCCACAGAGAAGATCATCCGCTGAAGTGTCCCGAGGACCTACATGCCCGTACTTGGGGCTAGATGCTCAGTGTCTCGTGTGATCCTCCTAGCAACCCTGCAGGGAGCCAGTGTTAACTTCCCATTTCATCGCTCCAGGAAAGGCTCAAAAGGGGGGACTCAGCAGAGGCGCAGCCAGGTAGCCACAGCCGCTAGCTGAACTGAGAGGGGAAACTGAGTCAGGGACCTGGCACGAGGTGTAGAGTGCAGCCTAGGACTCCAGGCCCACCCAGGGGGCAGCCACTTGGACACACTGACCCAGGTCCACAGGGAAAGAGCTGAGAGTGGGCAGCAGGGAGGGGCACACAGGTACCCTGGAGGCTGCCATCCACCCACTCCCGAGCTCAGAAAAGGCCGGCCAGTCTGCAGGTGGAGGTCAGGAGCCCAAGTGATAAGGGCAACTAGACTTGGCTAAAGAACCAAGCCAGTCATGTCCCTTTCAGAGCCTCAGTTTCTCCAACTGAAATGGGAGCATTCATCTTACAGAATTCTTAAGACTGCTAGGGGGTTGTTTTTGTTTGTTTATTTTTGGTATTGTAGAGATGGGGTCTCACTGTGTTGCCCACACTGGTGTCAAACTCTTGGCCTCCAGCGACCCTCCTGCCTTGGCCTTCTAAAGATCACAGGCGTGAGCCACCACACTCTGCCCAACAACTGCTAGCTTTTATCATCAGGCTCCTATTGTATGCCCAGGCGTGGGTTGAAACCAATTTCATATGGTTTTCAAATGCTCCTTGGTGAGTGCCTGCCGCGTTTTCAAGAAACCCTTTCTTGCTATCTATCCAAAAACAGCTTGGTCTTATCCTGAGCCTCCATGCACCCACATCTCCATTTCTGTCCATGTCACACTGTTTTGAGTCTTGCTGTTTTAGAGTGTGTTTTAATGCCTCCTAAGACCGACTCCCTGCAATTGTTCATCTTTATAGACTGTCATTTAATATCCTAAGTATCCAGGTGGGCAGCGGATGAGAAAAGAGAGTGGAGAGATCCCAGACAAGGGTGTCGACCCCAGCTTCGCTCCTGGCAGCCTGGGAGAGGCCACCATGTGCCATGGGTAACCCTGTACAATTGAAACCACCTCCCGAGCCTCCGTTTTCTCACCTTGGAATGGGGCCACTTCCTAGCAATGTTGCAAGGCATTGATGCTATCGTGGTTGTTTTTTGGTCTTGGGTCAGACTTTCCAGGAACGGGACATTGTTCTCCACCAAGGAGAGGATCTTCATGGCTACGATATACTTGGACCAGCTTAGAGGTTTTGCTTTCAGAAGTCGTACACAGGCCGGGCACGGTGGCTCACATCTGTAATCCCAGCACTTTGAGAGGCCAAGGCGAGAGGATTGCCTGAGCCCAGGGGATTGAGACCAGCCTAGGCAACATGGCGAGACCTCATCTCTACAATAAATCAAAAAATTAGCTGGGCGTGGTGGTGCACACCTGTATTTCCAGCTACTTGGAAGGCTGAGGCAGAAGGATCACCTGAGCCCAGCAGGTCGAGGCTGCGGTGGCTGTGAGTATACCACTGCACTCTAACCTGGGCAACAGAGTGAGACCGTAACTTTAAAAAAAAAAAAAAAGTCGCACACATGTGATGTCACAGGCGGTCCTGGGTTGGTTTTAGTGGTGGAGATGGTAACTCATTGGAGTGATGCTTTTGGCATTTCTTCTTCTTGGTGTTTTCTGACTGGTTCCTACTTGCAGCAGTGCAGCTCGTTGGCAGGTATCTTACGCACTTTCCCTGTGTGCGTTGCTCTGAGCTGACGCTGGCCTGGGTGGTGATGCGGCCGTAGCGCTGGCGATGAGCTGACATGGCCATCTGTGCACTTCCGACATGTGCGCACATCCTGGTGCATTTTTCTCAAACCCTAAAGCACCATGATTAGGCCTGGGCCGGGCATGCTTATCTTGTTCCTGATTTTCAAGTGCGTCTCCTTAGTATCTCTTTGCTAATTATAATATTAATGCCAGTCTCTTATTTTAGAATCCTGAGCGTGTTGGAGAAATATCTGCGTTCACTTTGTTCAATGTTGTCTTGGGAGGGGGTAGTGAATTTTTTTAGATAGCTTTTGGTATTTTTAAATGATCGGATTTTTTTTTCCTGAGCTATTGATGGGGTGGATTCTATTTTTAGGGTTTGTCATATTGAACAATCCTTGGCTTCCTGCAATAAAACCCTAATTGGTCCATTATTTTTTTTATCACACTGCTGAATCCTTGTTGTGAGCTGAGTGTTTTATCTCTGTCTCCATCAGGAATTGAAATTGGATGATAGTTTGGGGATGATTTGTGAAGTGATTTTGAATATTTCTGAGTGTGATTCAGCGGCTCCAACATAGAATCATTTTTCTTTTTCTTTTTCTTTTTTTTTTTTTTTGAGGCAAGGTCTCATTGTCACTCAGGCTAGAATGCAGATGCATGATCACAGCTCACCACAGCCTCAACCTGCTGGGCACAAACAATCCTCCCCCGTCAGCCTCTCAAGTAGCTGGGACTAAAGGGACATGCACCACACCTGGCTAAGTTTTTGTTTTCATTTTTGTTTTTTGTAGAGATGAGTTCTCGTTGTGTTACCCAGACTGATCTCCAGCTCCTGGACTCAAGCAGTTCTCTCACCTCGGCCTCTCAAGGTGCCAGGATCACAGCCATGAGCCACCATGCCCAGTCACATTTGTCTATTAAAAAATATAAATAGGCAAGGCACAGTGGCTCACACGTGTAATCTCGGCACTTTGGGAGGCTGAGGCAGAAGGATTGCTTGAGCCCAGGAGTTCAAGACCAGACTGAGTAACACAGCAAGACCTTATGGCTAAAAAAAAAATCAAAAAATGAGCCAGATGTGGTGGCACATGCCTGTAGTCCCATCTCCTGGGGAGGCCGAAGTGAGAGGATTGTTTGAGTCTATGGTGAGCTGGGATGGAGCTACTGCACTCCAGCCTGGGCAACAGCTTGAGACCACAACTCAAAAAAAAAAAAAAAAAAAACAAATAGTAACAATTTATCCATAACTCTTGGGTTAAGCTGGTAAAAAGGGGAGGTGACTATTTTCATAGTTATTTTAAGGTCAACCCTTGTTTTAGCCAGGTTTTTTACTTTTTGTGCCCATTTTAGTGTATTTTTAGACAAAACTGTCCTGGATAAACTCAGTGTACAGGTGTGAGGCAGTGCACTCAGCCTGTAATTAGTTTAAAAATCTAAAACATTGTTTGACACAAAATAGGCATTTAATACAGATTAAGTTCAATAAAATATTTGCTGTTATAGCTCAGGCCTTACTTTAAGTTGTATTCTATTTTCTCCTATTTTAAAACCTTCTCTCTGCAGAGCTCTGTCTGTTTAATTAACTGTTCCTGAGAACCAGCTCCTGGCATGCTTATGTAAATTTCTTGATGGTTTCTCATTTATTTTTAGTTTCCATCATTATTAGTTCCTTTCTCCTGTTACCTTGGTTTGTGGTTGTTGCTGTTCTTTCTTATGTCTAAAATGGAATACTTACCTTTTTTGTTTTGTTTTGTTTTTCGAGTTAGAGTCTCACTCTGTTGCCCAGGCTGGAGTACAGTGGCACGCTCACAGTAACCACAGTCTCAACCTGCTAGGCTCAGGCGATCCTTTTGCCTCAGCCTTCCAAGTAGCTGGAAGCACAGGTGCACGCTACCATGACTGGCTAATTTTTAATAAGTTTATTGTAGAGACGAGGCCTTGCCATATTGCCCAGGCTAGTCTTGAAGCCCTGGGCTCAGGCTATCCTCTCACCTCCACCTCCCAAATTGCTGGGATTATAGGTGTAAGCCACGGTGCCCGTCCTTCTACAAATATTTTGTTTAAGAGACAGGATCTGGCTCTGTCACCCAGGCTAGAGTGCAGTGGAATAATCATAACTTTGCAGCCTCAACCTCATGGGCTCAAGTGATCCTCCCACCTCAGCTTCCCAAGTAGCTGGGACTATGGATACACGGCACTATGCCTGGCTATTTTTCTGTTTGTAGAGACTAGGTCTTACTATGTTGCCCAGGCTAATCTTGAACTCCTGGGCTCACGGGACCCTCCCACCTCAGTTTGAGCCACCATACCAGGCCAGTTTCCTTTTCTTGTTTTTTTTTTTTTTTTTGAGTCGGAGTCTCACTCTGTCACCTAGGCTGGAGGGCAGTGGCACGCTCATGGCCACCACAGCCCTGACTTGCTGGGCTCAGGCGATCCTTCTGCCTCAGCCTTCCAAGTGACTTAAACTACAAGCGTGTGCCACCAGGCCTGGCTAGTTTTTCTTGATTTATTGTAGAGATGAGGTTTCACCAAGTTGCCCAGGCTGGTCTCAAACCCATGGGCTCAGGCAATCCTCTCACCTCGGCCTCCCAAATTGTTGGAATTACAGGCGTGAACCACAGCGCCCGGCCAATTAATGTTTTCCTTAACTCATTAATAAATGTGAGAACCAG